ATTGTTGTATGAAGAGCGGCCATTATCTTTTAAGCATTGTTGGGAAATGAAACAATTGGTAGACGACCAGCGGCCATTACTGTTTGAGACATTGTTACCCAAAGAAACAGTTGGCAGATGAAGAGCGGCCATTATCTTTTGAGCATTGTTGGGAAAAGAAATGACTGGCGCAGGAGTAGCGGCCATTACTGTCTGAGACATTGTTGTATGAAGGGTGGCCATTATCTTTTGAGCATTGTTGGGAAAAGAAACAATTAGTGTAGGAGTAGCGGCCATTACTGTCTGAGACATTGTTGTATGAAGAGCGGCCATTATCTTTTAAGCATTGTTGGGAAATGAAACAATTGGTAGACGACCAGCGGCCATTACTGTTTGAGACATTGTTACCCAAAGAAACAGTTGGCAGATGAAGAGCGGCCATTATCTTTTGAGCATTGTTGGGAAAAGAAACAATTGGTGTAGGAGTAGCGGCTATTACTGTCTGAGAAATTGTTGTATGAAGAGCGGCCATTATCTTTTAAGCATTGTTGGGAAATTAAACAATTGGTAGACGACCAGCGGCCATTACTGTTTGAGACATTGTTACCCAAAGAAACAGTTGGCAGATGAAGAGCGGCCATTATCTTTTGAGCATTGTTGGGAAAAGAAATGACTGGCGCAGGAGTAGCGGCCATTACTGTCTGAGACATTGTTGTATGAAGGGTGGCCATTATCTTTTGAGCATTGTTGGGAAAAGAAACAATTAGTGTAGGAGTAGCGGCCATTACTGTCTGAGACATTGTTGTATGAAGAGCGGCCATTATCTTTTAAGCATTGTTGGGAAATGAAACAATTGGTAGACGACCAGCGGCCATTACTGTTTGAGACATTGTTACCGAAAGAAACAGTTGGCAGATGAAGAGCGGCCATTATCTTTTGAGCATTATTGAGAAAAGAAACAATTGGTATACGAGTAGCGGCCATTACTGTTTGAGACATTGTTATCCAAAGAAGCAATTGATAGATGAAGTTGCGTTTTAAGCATTGCTGTGAGTAGAAATAATCGACAAAGAAAAGAATTAACTTTTTGAATATTATCTCTAGGACAAATAAAAGTTTACCCTCAAAATAGTCACGTATTCGTTTACGAATTACAAAAAATTTATATGGGAGTTAAAAGATATTGAACGCTAAGTTGTTCGTCCTCTAAGTACGTATATCGCAGCTTTCAGCAGTTATAGCGTGCAAGTTCCCGCTTTCTGCATCTCTTGCGGCGGCATTGGTGGAAAGGACCTCGACTTCCATGGGTCATCGTACCCGTAGCCGCGGTCGTAGGCAACCTTCCTCCTGAAGAATAGAACAAACAAACGTCTTACGCAACGTGTATCGACTCCACCTGAGTCCAGTCTCTGTCTCGTTTCACATTTTTTTCCTGTCTTCTTTTTTTTTCTCAAGTTGCAAGATATGTTTGTCAAATAAATACCTCGCATAGTTGTGTGTTGGGCTAAATCAATTTTTAAAATTGCTTTTCGTATTTTCCTTAGCTTTTGGAGCAAATTTTCCTGAGTTTGTCAATCTCAATCTTGGATAACACGATGTTGCGTCTATCTGTTAAAGGACTTGATTCTGTTAGACTATGAGAATGATCCCTTATATCTATCTATTTTGATAACTCAATTATTTTGGTATGTTGTGGCATTCCTGCCAAATTGTTTGTATTTCCCAATATTATCAACAATATGAAATATTTGTGCCAATAGTAATTGGAAAAATACAAAACAATTGGCTTGTTTACGTATTGATTCTAAATGCCATAAATTATTTTAAAGTTAATAATTTTTTTTTTTGGAAAACTTATTAATCTCCCTGTTATCTCCTTGATGTTAATCCCTTTGTACATAATACTTATTTCCGTATTCCATTAAATACGTACTTGCGGTTTTCCCTTAACTACTTGGTTTGTTAACGTAAATATGTGAACCATTTGCCTTAGGATTTTGACGCAGTTTTGACTGTTCATTCTCAAAGCGTTGAAAATTAAGAACAATAATTATTTTCAAGAGCAGACAGACGCTAATGATTGTCCCTGATTTTACCTTCGCGAAGGTTCATAGCCATAACGTGATTGCCAGATTTCACTTTCGATTTCGATTCTTTGTAAAGCCTTAATTTTGATAAAAGGGAAAACATACTTTAATAAATAAATATAAATTTAACATCGAAAGCTACTAACATTATTGTATAAACTTATTATCACAGAAAAGTTAAAAAAAAATGCGACGGTTTTAAAATCTATTAAAACAACGGCTGGACGGAGATATCAACGATGGGTCGAGAAAGTAATAAAAACGTTTCAAGATAACAATTATACGGTGTTTGGACAGCGTGGTATTGGCCCTAAGGATGTGACAGAAGTTTTCCGAAGAGTAGTCAAATAAAATAATTAAAAAAAAGCTTAATAATAATTAAAAAAAAGAAAATGAAATATTGTACCTAACCTTCTCAACTATTATACGGTTTGCCTACGTACTACGTACCTAGCGCCAAATGGCCCATGTGGCAACGTGGTGGCCCGTGGATGGTTGCCTTAACAGCAGATGAAGAAAAAGGTGAACTTCACGAAAGAACACTCACACAATACTGCAGCAGAGGAGAATC